TTCCTCTCCCCCCTCCTCCCCCTCCCCTCAGAATCTCCGTCACGCCACAGTCATGTGCCTAGGCCACTTCGACAAGCCCAAAGAACAGTTCCTCCGGGCGCTCCAGCGCTCTGACCTCATCGACCTTGACCTTAACGGCACGGCCTACTGGTGGTCATCCAGCGGCTCGGTGACCTCTGCCGGAAGGGTCATGGCCAGGATCGTGAGGCTGCTCAAGGTCAGAGCACTGGGTTCATGGATAGACTACTCCATTTCATTTTTCGAGGAATAAAAATGGGAGAAGGGGAAAGGGTGGTAGGAGGGTGGGAGGAGAGTGGTGGGGAGCAGTGTGAGGGGTAAGGTAAGGACTGAAATGGTCTGGAGGGACGGATGGACGAAGAGAGGGGGAGGGAGGGAAAGACGAGAGACGGCAAGAGTGGGGTAGGGGATGGAAGGGTGGGGAGAAAGGGAGGAGGGGTGAAATCATTTGTTTGTTTGTTATTTTGAGTTATTTGTACAATATAGTTTGTGGAGCTTTTTAAAAAAAATATTTCTTTGTTTGTTTGTTGGTATGTTGGTGCGTTTGTCTGTTTTGATTCATGCAAATATCAACTGAAGTCGTTTCTGTTTTTAAATTGATAAGATGAATATTTGGTGAGATTTTCTTTTAGACAAAAAACAACGATTTATGTTACTTTTGTATATTGTAATGCATTGCAAAACGCTCAGAGCCTGTGTACTTTATTATTATTATTATTATTCGTTTGTGTGTTTGTTTAATTATTTGTTTGTTTTGGGGCGGATGGTGGGGGGGGGAGGAGGGGGAAAGATTCTTTTAGATTGCTTTTCACATTTTGGTAACATTTGTGAGGCATTGTGGTGAACTCAGGCGCTTGCCAAAATAATTAAATCGAATATATTGGCATTTTTCCCCAGTTTTTCCATTTTTGGGGGATTATTTTTGTTTTTTTGGCTCAAGACCTTTATGTCAATTTTTTTTTTACATATTTCTGTGTTTTTAACGAAAAACATTGATTATTGAAGGCACAAAAAATTGTAAATTTTCAGTTTCCAAGGACTATCAAGCTTTGGAAATCACCAAACTTTAGTGGCCGTTTTCCAGATGATTTTACCTCCGAAACCAGGCCACCCGACTTCCTTCAATCACAAATATCTCGACTCCTATTAAAGATAGGAGTGTATTTTTTTCTTCAAAAGATGGGCAAATGAACAAGCTTAAAGATGACACCAATAACTCCAGATGCCCAAAAAATTAACGAGCGCCTGATTCTACTCCTCAGTGACACGTTTGTTTTGTTTTCCAGACACAACGACAGCTGGAAGGGTTTCAGATGAGACAGGCTATGCTGGACTACCAGACGGGGCTAGGGATTCTGGACACTTTGGCCGTGTCTTCGGGGTCTTCTATTGTACGGCTAGGTGAGT